CAAAATCTAATCGCTGGTGTCAAGAGCTTTTCAAAACACTATAATAAAGTTATTTTTTATTAAGTACTTTTCGAGTTATGAGGCTTGTAAATTACAGTATTTTGACATAAAATACAAAATATCTTGTAAAACATTCATATTTTGGGAATTTTACCTTAATACTTTTATGCATAAAATAATGAGACGAATCAATTGGTATAAAAAAAAACACATAGTTGCTTGCAAGAAAAAATATGTAATTTGCAACATGCAACTGCATACTTTTTTTTAAAATCAATGTGTTTTCTTTATACCAATTAATTCGTCTCATTATTTTATGCATAAAAGTATTAAGGTAAGATTCCCAAAAATTGAATATTTTGCAAGATATTTTGTATTTTATGTCAAAATACTGTAATTTACAAGCCTCATAACTCGAAAAGTACTTAATGAAAAATAACTTCATGTGTTTTGAAAAGCTCTTGACACCAGCTATTAGATTTTGGAATCAAAAATAGGGGTTTCCATTTAAAAAAATAACTCTGACCTTCAAATAAAGGTTTGAAAATTGACTTCAAGGTCAAAGTCACTAGCATAAATAGGTGACCCCCATTGTCCTGAACAACTTTTGTCTGAACTATTTTTCTGTATTTGGCTTACTTACGGAGTTATTTGCGTGGATGGATTAAAATAGCCCACCCTGTATATATATATGTATATAAATACATTTTTTATATATTAATTTTATTTTATTATTTTATATTTAAAAATTAATTATATTGTAATTTTTCTTTGTTTTCGTTAGTGATTGCAGTCATGCCATGACATATAGCAAAGCGATGAATGCCGATTATAGCAAAAAGTTGTGGGATACTTCTTGTCGACTATTGCATTTGGAGCCCGAGGAAAGTCTTGTTGCGTTATTGAATACTATCTCACGTCAAATTGCTGATTAATCCGAGATAAATTTATTATTAGTCTTTACTAGATTCTACCAATTTCATATAAAATTGGAACATAATATTGGGTTGTATTATAAGTGGAAGAGATGCTTTAGCAACAATTTTAGTTAACTTTTCTTCCTCAAATATGTGATAACATGTTATTTTCATATTTATTTAACGACTATTGCGGAACACAAGTGCGGTATAAGTGATGCGTCATGCAGCGTGACGCATATAGCGTGATACTAATGATTCATTTTTGAAAGATGCGATTTCGGAACATATATGGTTGAATTCAGCGTAAAAAATGCTACAACTTTTGTCATTACAAAAATTTTGAAATTTGAAAAAATAATAACAAGGGGTAGGGGTAAATTAAAAAAAATTTACATTTTTTGAAAATCCAACTACACAGTTATAAAGCCCATTACAAGCCATACAACTTCTATTTGAAACATTTTTTTATATCTCCTACGGTTTTGGCGATAATTACACAAAGAAAAAACCGTTTTTTTCAAAGGGGTATTTTACCCCTTAAATTTGAGTTAGGGCTATAAAAAACTACGCTAAAAAAAAATACGTGTCTCCTCAAATTGTATGTTTTACAACATATTTCAAGAAGAATCAAATCGGGAGGGGACACTTGTGAACGTTCCCTTGTTAGTGATTTTTCCGTGATAGAGCATCATACAAGGTGTCCCATTTTAAATGATCCACTCAAATATTTCAAATATGATATAATATTTCAAAAATATGATATGATTGTATTTGCTATATATTTTCTTAAAGACAACGTGTTTTTACTCCAATTGATTTCTTTCATTATTTTGTGTATAAAAGTGTTAAGGTAAGATAATTGAAAAATGAATATTTAACGCGATATTTCATAGTTTATGTAAAATTATACCAAATTAAAGTATAAAATATCTCGTAAACTATTCAATTTTGATATGAAATATCAAATTTTTGATATGAAATATTTTACCGTTATAACTTTTTACGACGAATATTGCAAGGAATCGATTTATATAAAAAATTAGAGTAGTTTTATTTAAAAAATAAAGATGACTTTTAAATCTCTAAAGCTTTTTCATCAAGATCAAACTAATATTCCTATCTTTTTTCCCCCTCTAAACCTTACAATTTTTATTTGAAACATTTTTCGATTTAATGCGGTATTTCTGAGTTATTTGATTGGATCATTTAAAATAGGACACCCTGTACATCACCATGAATAATGTTTATGTAACTAGCGTGTAGTATATAGCGTGACCTCGCTTTTTTGCACACTGTTCATTACCTTCACATTCCAATGTCACATATTTATTTTTAAATTTAAAGGTCACTGTGCATCAGTTTTAGAAGTTCCAACTTTCTGAGTCAGTTGGGTATGAATCTTGAGAGACATCGGTTGTTCAGATGCACTATTCTCACATGAGTTACGTTATTGTGTAATTTTAATTTATTATTATTACAGTTTAATTGTTTTGCAATTTATTGATTATAATTTTATGACCACATACTTACTCGGATTGCAAGGTTTGTTTGTTCTTTTTTTCGTTATTTTTTTGTTAGTTAGTTTAGTTGAAATGCATTAATGCTTAATAACTTATACAACTTTTTCTTTATCCAGACAGCACAATGTCCAAAATACATCTAAAGGATATCCAGAGGATATTCTGTCGTCCCAAAAACATTTTCGAGATATCCTCTGAACGTCTTTTGGATATTCTGTGCTGTCTGGGTAATTTTTTTCTTTCTAACTTAGCTTTACAAATTCAAAAGTGATTATCACACTACTTAACATTTTGTTGGATTACTTCAATACATAATATTTTTAATGCTTAAATAACTAAATAACCTTGATTCTAGATCTTTACTTTTTTTTTTAATGAACCATCCACGCTTTCTTCTGTATTGCCAACAGACTTTGCTAACTTTGCTCTAATCAATCTTTAATCAGAGCAGCATGAATTTTTCTTGTAATTTTATTATTTTTTCTTTTGTACGATAGACATTCAAATTACAATAACTAATAACAATTATATTTTTTATTGTTTTATAAATTAATTTTTTAACTTCTGTTAGTCATATAATAGCATACAAAGAAAAGAGAATGTTTCTATTAAAAGTTAACGAAATCGACGTTGTTATTTTATCATTAGATGTGATAGTTGGGACATGTGAAATATGCCTCATTTTTGTACGCATGCGCTACATGTTGTAATTAGACGAGTTAGACTATTTACATTCTATCTACAGCAGCGCTCGGAATTAGTTGCACATTTCAGGCCTATTCAAGGGACGACGCCTAATGTTCCCCCACTACCGCCCAGTGTTGCGATATGGGACCGGTTGTATGCGCATGTGCGGCAATACGGCGTCAGTACAGTGTCTCATACAAATTAAACAAGGCACCGTTACCCCGCTACATTAAAAATATTTCTAAATTTTTTGAAATTGATTGAAATTTTTTACTTCTTGGTTTTTTAGCTGCTGGCTCCGTAGATTCCATGCTTGTAAATAAATAAATCTTACCTTATTTGTAGTCACCAGACCTTCTCATGTCAAAACGTCCCGCCATACGGTCAACACATAACATATAACGGCACTGGATCTCCATCACTGCACATGCGCAGAGCCGCACATGCGCATACAACCGGTCCCATATCGCAACACTGCTACCGCCCGGCCGCTGGCGGTCGAGCCGCCGATAGCTCTGGCGCAGAAGCGTTTTATATAAGAAATAGGCTCGGTTGTTGAGGCACCTCTCAAAAAATAGTAATATTTTCTTTGCTACATAAATAATGTTTATTTCATTAATAATTAAATATATATATATTATGTATTAATGAAAATAAACATTATTTATGTAGTAAAGAAAATGTTACGATTTTCTGAGAGATGCCTAAACAATCCAGCCTTATTTCTAATATAAACCTCCTGAGCCAGAGCTATCAGCGGCTCAGCCGCCAGCGGCCGGGCGGTAGTGAAGGAACAGGAGGCGTCGTCTCCTGAATCGGCCC